GGATAAAGAAATTGTTCTAAAGAATGTTAATACAAAAGACTAGTTGACTGATATTTTTACTAAGAGTCTTTCCAGACCTCAATTTGAACGGCTTAGGAGTTTGCTAGGCTTGGCGGAGTATGAGCGTGCACTAAAGGGAGGTAACACAAATAGCGCACTTAGAAGAAGATGCAAATCAATTCAATTCCGTGATTGAGAGTTTTTTTTAATTGTTTCTTTACTCTATTTTAATGTTTGTTTTCGCCGGTTAGTCAAGTTCTATTATTGTGTTAATGGAGTCTATTTTACGTTAGTGTAACAGTCATTTAACCAAGTACTGTTAGTGACATAATTTTAGAAAACCGTTAATTTTAAATTGAAGTGTATAGATAAAAAAATTACTGTACAATATTATTCATTCAATTTTTAATAAAGTACAAACATTTTGCTCAAGAAGACTCCATAGTAGTTTACTATCATCTTTTGTTTTAAGACCTTTGTTTAAATCTCATTAACAACAGTTTTAGCATATTATATAATATATGTGCAAATATGCTATATGCATATTATTTATATTAGCACAAAAGCTAGTGAGACAAGTAGTAAGGTGTGTGAAGCAAATACCTAGGTTTTAACCTCTTTTTCGCAAAATTAAATTTTTTTAATTTAGTATACATATTATATTGAAATATGTAAATAAAGTTTCACGTCTACTAAAATTCAGTGACATATAAATATAATAGATATCTCGATTAATATAAATTATTTTGATAGAATGTCCATAAACAAAACCAAATCATAAGAGCTTGAATTAAAATAGACAATCTAAGTCACCGATTTCAATAATTTGGACATCAATAAAAAGAAAATGACTTAATCACTAAATCAGTAAAATGATTGGTTGACAATTTATGTCGATTTTGGTTAAAATCGTGAACGGTGATTAAAAATATATTGTATTATGCAGTAGACACAACTTTTTGTTGTACCTTTTTCTTTTACAAGGAAATCACACTGCTACTGTTAAATTCGTTACTTCATTAGAAAGAAAATAAAAAACAGAAATGTGTTTTCCTGTTTGTATGTGGGACCATGAAACCCTGATATATGCTTAAATTCTCATTTTTGTTGGTGGGTGGTAAGTATCCCAAAATTTTGTGTGATTGATGCTGCTAATGAAACAAAAAATTTTCTACACCTTGAGTCGCTGGTAAATCGCTTGTGCTGATGAAATTTTTGCACAGAAAAAACATTTATAACCTCCTAGCAAGGCCTCATAAATTTTCAGTTTGTATTGGGGAATATGCTCAGATTTGTGCAAATACAATATAACGAAATTGCAAGGTTTTATTCCAATTTAGATTTTATTAACACCAATTTCTCAACAAGAACAAGAACAACTAATACTTGTTTTAGCAATTACAACATACAGCACCTTACATCTTTTCTGCGCAATCACACATGAGATCATTAGAACAAACAAAACACGATTTTAAACAAAAGAACAGAGTAACATGGTTTAACCAGAGATTTGTATGGGCTTAACATCAGGCTTCTTGACCTCTTGCTTTGGAACAGTAACAGTGAGAACCCCATTTTCCATAGAAGCCTTCACTGCATCCACTTTGGCATTTTCTGGCAATCTGAACTTTCTCAAGAATTTGCCACTGCTACGCTCCACACGGTGCCACGTGTCGTTATTGTCTTCTTTCTCAACTTTCCTCTCACCGCTTATCTGAAGAACCCTGTCATCTTCAATCTCAACCTTCACTTCCTCCTTCTTAAGGCCGGGTACATCAGCCTTGAACACGTGCGCTTCTGGGGTCTCCTTCCAATCCACTCGGGTGCTGACAAATGCAGAATTTTCCCGAGAAAATTCAGAAAGAGAATTGGAGAAAGGAAAATCCTTGAAGGGGTCTCACACGTCGAGGGAGAAAGGGTCGAAGACATTGCTCCTTCGGGCACCGAAGAAACTCGGAATCAGCGACATTTTGTGTCCTCTGAGAGTAGAAACTGTGCAAAGGTGAAGTTGTAATGGGAACTGGGAACACGAAACTGTTTTGAGTTGAATGTCTGATAAAAGGGACACGCTGGGTATTTAAAAGAAGTAGAGGAGTAATGTAGCATTTTCGTGAATATTCTATTTATCCATGCTTACAAAGTAGAGAAGGGTCTAGATATCCTACTATACAATTTCTATAGCTTGCTCCCACTAGTTATGGTTTTTCCATAAAGCCCAAATCGCTATTGCCTATAATGCTCTTTCTATAATTATTTAGCTTTTTTCTTTTTACGTTATCCTTTTTTTTTAACCACACTACTCTTTTTTTTTTAAAATTAAATTTTTAAATATTTTAATCATTTTCAAAATTAAATTCTTTACTCACTTCTATAGTTTTATTTCCATCCAAATTTTCATATTTTTTTAAAGAGCGATGCAAAAAGAAACCACCAATAATGTATTATTTTGCATAAATTAGTTTTAAAATTATTTTGCTTAATTTATCCAAATTTTTATAAATTAAGTTCAAATTAATCTAATCTATTTATGACATATAAATTTAAATTGATATTTAATTTTAATTTATAATCTAAATAAAAAGAAACATTTTTTTAGTACGATTTAATAAGATTTAACGTTGGTCACTTAGAATTTGTTTAGGAAGGACTTTTGGAGGAGGACAAAATTTATATTTTAAAATTAATATTTTTAAAAATAAAAAATATAAATTAATATGTTAATAAAAATTTAATATATTAATAATATATAATTTTTTAATTTAAAATTAAAAATATGTTCTTCCTTTTTTTTTCTCTTAATTTTTTTTAAAAATATCTTTAGTGCATGTACATGTATTAATATTGAGAACTTTTTAAATAAATAATTACTTCTATAAAAATGAATTTTTATGTCACCGATGAATATTTATTATTTAAAAAATGAAATATTTATTAAAATTATTTTTATTTGTAATTTACTATGCATATATTGTATAATTAAAATTATTTAAAAATAATGTGTAAATTATATTTTCTTTTATAATAATATTTTTACTTTTAACACACTTTTTTTTATTGATTTTATTCTAAATTTTAAAGATTGAAATTGTTATTTATTTTTTCTTATTACTATATATAAACTTTTATATTTATAATTTTTATTATTTTATATGAACTTATTTAAAAATAATGTGTAAATTATATTTTCTTTTATAATAATATTTTAACACACTTTTTTTACTGATTTCATTCTACATTTTAAAGATTGAAATTATTTATTTTTCTTATTACTATATATAAATTTTTATATTTATAATTTTTATTATTTTATATAAAATTTAATTTTTTTTATATATCTAGATATATTTTCATATTTTATATTTGTAAAAAAAATTTAATTATGAAATTATATATAATTATTTTAAAATAAAATACACGTATATTAGATATATTGCTAAACTAGTTATCATTAAATTTTTAAATTAATTATTTTGACTATAAAATGAATTAATTGTTATTTTAAAATTAAAAATAATTATTTTTTTATATAAATGATTTATTATCGGAAATTCCAAATGTATTGCTTTAGATATAAAAAAAATTAGTTAAATTTTATTCTAAAAAATATTCAACGTTAATGTATCTCTTTCAATTGGATTATAATGAATAATATAATTTAATATTAGATTAATTATTAACAAAATTTTGAAGATAAAATATGATAGAAATTATTAAAATAAATATTTCTCACCTTTGATCATATTTGAAATTAAATAATGCAAAAATATTAAAATATAAAATTCCATGTAAATACATATTTTGATATTATATTAAGATATATCACATTTATATATATGGCGGTTGATTTACGCTCGCCGACGAGTTACTGAGTACCGAGTTTCCGGCAGAGCTGCCCGGATCGGCTGGAAGTATGCCACACAGGAAATGAAGTAGAATGATATATAAAAATAAAAAATAAAAAATGGGTAATTTGTAACTAACGTATTTTGATTTATAAAATTAAAATAATTTTTCCTCAGAATATTACAATTATTTAAGATAATTGCAATAAAATGTTAATAATTAAGATAACTATAATATCAAAAATATTGATTTATTATTTGAAATTATAAATAAACTAATGAATAGTTATTAATCTCTCTCTATATATATATAATTGATTGGATATTAGTTTTATTTCTTATTTCATATATTTTTAAATAAATATATTATAATAAACATTATTATAAGATACCTGTGGAGATACAATGTCAATGAAATTAAGTTATTTTTAAAAAATAAAAACTTTACAAAAGATACATATTATAATATAAGAAGTTTGAGTGAAAATTAAATTTGAAATTTATATTATACTTTGTCTTTTTTTCTCTTCTTCCTCTGTCTTTGTATTACTTTCCTCTGTTAAATTGTTCTCGTATGTTCATTGTTAATTATACTTGTATTGAATTATTCTCGCTTATTGATTAACACAAACATCATTTAAGTTTAGCATTCGATCCGGCAAGTGGTCACATGTTATCATTGCATTATGAAAGAACAAAGTTGAACACTTGCAACAAAGAAATCGCTTATATTTGACCTGAACATTTATCATAGAACTAAAAAATTTCAGTTTATAAAATAACATTTTTCTTCCACTCATTTTTTTTATGATTTCTTTTCCTGAATTTTCTCAATTTACAATCTGCACAAATTTATCCTGTAAACCTGTTGAGACTTTTAAAATAAGACAACGTTTAAGACATTAGTTCTAGAAATGTAAACGCTTTAATTTTTATGTTAAAGCTGAAAAATCAGAACATAATATTTTTCTGCAAGCTGGAGTTTATTCACATTAACGTCACAACATGCTATTACCATTCACATTACACGGCACCTTCCCCTACAAATCACAGCAAATTATAACCTTTTTGACGAACATCACACCAAAAACCAAGCAATGTAACAAAGAAAACACACGATTCTAATCCAAGAGAAAGAGTAACATAGTTTGTTTTAGCTTAACCAGAGATTTGTACGGCTTTAACATCAGGTTTCTTGACCTCTTCCTTGGGAACAGTGACAGTGAGAACCCCATTTTCCATAGCAGCTTTCACTTGATCAACTTTGGCATTCTCTGGCAATCTGAACCTTCTAAGGAACCTGCCACTGCTACGCTCCACGCGATGCCACGTGTTGTTCTTGTCTTCTTTCTCGACGTTCCTCTCACCGCTTATCTGAAGAACCCTGTCATCTTCAATCTCGACCTTCACTTCCTCCTTCTTAAGACCAGGTATATCAGCCTTGAACACGTGAGCTTCTGGGGTCTCCTTCCAATCCACTCGGGTGCTCACAAATGCAGAATTTTCCCGAGAAAATTCAGAAACAGAATTGGGAAAAGGAAAGTCCTTGAAGGGATCCCACACGTCGAGGGAGAAAGGGTCGAAGACATTGCTCCTTCGGTCACCGAAGAAACTTGGAATCAGCGACATTTTCTCTTAATCTTTTAGATGGTAACTTGGAACTTTGCGAAATGAGATTGCTTATCAACAAATGGGAAACAATAGAATTCAGAATTCACTCTGTTGCTGATGTTCTCAAAGGGGACAGAAGAGGTATTTAAAAGACGTGGAAGGGTAATCCCGTACATTCGAGAACATCCTAGTTACTGATTGGTGTTCTAAGTTTCAGAAAGTCCCATTATGTTCTGGATATTTCTGCACGACCCAGAAGGTTCTGCAAGATGTACCTATAAATTTCTTTCGACCAAAATAAATAAATAAATTCTTTCACCAAAAATAATTTATAAAAATTTTAAGTAAAAAATAAAAACTTTATTGATTATAGGTTGTTTAATGGAAGATCAGATTTACTTAATTTTAAGATTAGAGAAACTTAATTGATTAAAAAAATCGAGTATAAAATTATTTATTCTAAATTAGTGGGACTTAAGTCTATAAAATAACATATTGATACATGAAAAAAATTAATCACGGTTATTCTTCAAATAATTTATTTGTGTCATTTGTTTTACTAAGTAATTAATCAAATTGTTGGCAAACCTCTTAAATCAAAATATTTAGATACGAGATTGAGTTACATGCTTTTATATGTGGAATAGTTTATAATTAAAAAAAAACTTACTAATGGAGCTTTCATTAAAAATATTTCTCATGCAAAAGAATATATAAAATTAAGCCTGTTGTAAATATCCAAACACTATAAAATAATATAGACCTATAACTATATAAGTAATAAATGAAGTATTAATTTGTTAATAAAATTAAACTTATCATTTGTATTAGTTATTTTTTAATATATTGTTATAATAAATGAGCTTTGATATATACTTCCTTTTTCTGAGCACTGAAAGATATACCCAGTAGATTGTTAAAGAATGTTTTTTAAAAAACGTAAAAATCACTCTAGTAAATTTTATCTCTTTCAATAAAATCTTTTCATTATATATGAACAGATTATTATTAATTAATTTTTTTGTTGCAATAAAAATATAAAATTATAACTTGCATTCATTTTTTGTCTAACTATTTTTGTTACATGTTTAAAAAATAACATTTTTTTATTATAATAAAAGCAGTTTAACTGTAATACATTTATAAAATATTAGAGAAATTGTGTAAGATTTTGAAATAATAGAGTTGGGAGTAATATCGAAAAAGCTAAATTTATTAAAGTTGAATTTGTTTAATTTAATTTTGTTTAAAAATAATAAGTGCTTACTTAATTGGCTTCTTGAGGAATCTTTTGAAAAAAAAATAGCGATTACTTCTTAAAAAATAGTTAGATGTAAAGATCAACCTATTTTTGTTGAAGTTTAAAAATTTGATAATTGATTAACAATTTAGTAAAGTAAATAATAAAAAAAATAGACTTAAGTATGGTGTATTAATAAAATGAGATATTTTGCGTAAGTTTAAAAAATAAATGATTTTTTATATAATAAACCCAAAATGAAAGAAAAGTACTAAAGTGAGTTGGCTTGAGTAAAATCAAATAAATTAATCTATTATAAAACACCTATTGAAAATATCATTGTTTTAATTGTTGACTCAAACGAAAATCTTAAAATTATTCTATATTTTAAATTCAGCTAGATTTTCTAGTACTTGATGTGATATTGTGAAATTTTAAATTTTGTTAAGGATGGAACTTTTTGGAATATAAGAAAAAAATAGATAATTTTTGGAACGATATTTGAATTTTTGAGATTGGTAGATTTATTGACTATTCTGCTTAAGTTCTATTCTTTATGATTAAAATTATTTCATGGGGCCCCTCATCAAGAATGAGAATTGGGACTGATGCAAGTTTTAGAACTTTCCTTGCATTTATATATGTCAGAAACTTGCTATTGTTTTTCCCATTTGAATGAAAGCTGAAAAGGATTCAAGTATCTAAAGATAGAACCAATTTGGACAATTGTCCTTAAATTTAGCTTGTGAAACCATATATAATTATTCTTTTAAATATGATTGAACTTTTTTAAAGAAAAATTGGAAGTGTAATGGTCCTCAAAGAAAGAATGAAGTCTTTTATTTAACAATTGCTTATGACTTGTTGCTAACTAAAGAAGAAATATGTCTGGTTCAGATATGTGTATCTATTATAATGATGTCTTTATTCTATAATTCATGTTCAAATATGGTCTTCTCATATTTCATGTTCAAATAAGGTCTTTATTTAACAATTGCTTAGGAATGTCTGAAATTCAAAATACAAGCTTTCAACTCTTTGGTCCAAAAGAAGTGTTACATTGCTTGTCTTTCCCTTTATCATGATATGGTTAAATTTAACATTAAGATTCTATTCTTCCAAGGTATAGCCATGCATCTTGTAAAGGCATTATCATAAATTACAAGAGAGAGAATTTATTATAGATTTTACTTATAATTAGGTAGCTAATTTCTCTTAAGATTGAAATGTGGGGTCTTCTCATGAAATTAGACTGTTGATCCACCTTAAAGTGGAAAAATTTATTATAGGGATAGATTCTCAATTTAACGATTCTATGGTCAAGCAATTGTTTCCTTCCTAATCGCCATTGTTATTCTTTAATTAACAACATTAGGAGATTGTGGAATTAGCATTGGACTATCGTTTTGACTGTGTGTTTAGATAAGCTAATAAAGCAACAAATCTCTTGACTAATTTGGGTCACCTTGTTGATCATCTTGGATGAATCTCCCCTTCTCATCCCCATCTCAAGGGAGGATGTATATAAGGATTATTTTCTTAAACTAATTGTGTAGCTTTTAGGCATTTGGCCATGTTTAGGTATAAAAAAAATCATTCTATGTTAATTAAAAAACACTTGTTAAAAATATTTTTCCTATTTTTTTAAATATAATTTAGAAAGGTAATGCAACTATATCTTACTACAAAAAATTTAAATAATTTTAGACGGGTCATTTAAATCAAATAGTTACTCCAATTTACATTTTATGGAAAAAAATTAACATAAATAATAATTGCACAAATTATATCAAGTTTAAAACCTTAATTTTTATTCCCACTTCTTTTAGAAGGAATTTTTTTTCTTTGAAAAATAATCTTTTGATATTTTATGATGTGTATGTATGAATTTTTAATATTTTGTTTTCTACTATACATTACCTTCGCAATGAAATAAAAAAAATAGACAAAATATCTCAATGAGTGTTATTATTTTAATTTTTGAAGTAATATTTGATTTTGGATTGAGCTAAATACAATTATGTTATTTATGCACTTGATTTATCTAATAAAATAAGCTTAGTATTGTTGTACAAATGTAAAAAAAACTAATGAATCTTATTAATTTATTATTTGAAAAGAATGAATTTCTTTTGAATGAAATAATAGAAAAACTCAATAAACAGATTAAATATTTGTTTGGTTTCATGTCCATATTTTAAGTACATGCATTTTTATAACACAACATAATGCAACACTAAAATGATTAATGTGCATTTATTAAATTTTGATAAATAGTCAAACACGCACTAATTGATTGAACCATTTAAAAATTATAACACTAAAACAATAACATAAAATACAAAATGATTAAAGATGTTAAAAAGAGTTCTCACTTTTTTCACATGTATAGCTTAAATTCATGCGACATTTCGCGCCAACATAGATTAGCACAAAATGGCTAAAGTCTCACTTTTTTGGGGGTCAAAATTCTCACTTAGTTGACATAATTCCTCAAAAGAAAATAGTCAGCCTAGTTGAGTAGTCTGTTAAATTACTTGCAATTTAAGTATTTATAATAATTTATCAAATTATACTTTTAATTATTTTTCTAACACGTGATGATTGCTTTTTATATATTAAAAAAAATTAAATTTTGAACTTCCATAATTTTTTTTATATATGATGAAGCCCAGGGTAGTTGGGTTCCTCTTATAAACACTTGTTGTTTTCAGCCCAATTGAAAAGAAATTGTTGGGCTTCGAAACCGAAGGTGAAACGGAGATGAATGTATCCAATTGACCAAAAACAACAATGAAATAAAAAACCTCATATCTAAATTCCATAAATAATAATAAAAAAAAAGGGCAATGATGATATCTAGAGAACAGTAGATATCCTTATTCATGAAGAGAACTCGAGAAGTTTCTGGAATTAGCTGTAGCAGAAGTCAAGAGGATTTTCTGGAACATACATGTTATCCCTTCACTTTCTTTAAATACCTCTTGTATCCCCTCTGATATCATCAATCGGTAATCCAGTTACTTGTTTACTATCTCGTTCCACTCTCCAAAGTTTCAAATCTCGGTTAAGAAACATCCCAAGATGTCGCTGATTCCAAGTTTCTTCGGTGGCCGAAGGAGCAATGTCTTCGACCCTTTCTCCCTCGATGTGCGGGACCCCTTCAAGGATTTTCCTTTCCCCAATTCTCTTTCTGAATTTTCTCGGGAAAATTCTGCATTTGTGAGCACCCGAGTGGATTGGAAGGAGACCCCGGAAGCGCACGTGTTCAAGGCTGATGTACCTGGCCTTAAGAAGGAGGAAGTGAAGGTTGAGATTGAAGATGACAGGGTTCTTCAGATAAGCGGTGAGAGGAACGTTGAGAAAGAAGATAAGAATGACTCGTGGCATCGCATGGAGCGTAGCTGTGGAAAGTTCTTGAGGAAGTTCAGATTGCCGGAGAATGCCAGAGTGGATCAAGTGAAGGCTTCCATGGAGAATGGGGTTCTCACTGTTACTGTTCCCAAAACAGAGGTTAAGAAACCTGATGTTAAGGCTGTAGAAATATCTGGTTAAACTAAATTATGGCTAAAGATATGCGTTTTGCTTTGTTGTAATGTATGTTTTGATATGTGTGGTCTGTCAGTAACATCTACTGTGAATGATTTCACAATGTGTGTTGTAACTGCTCAAATAAGTGATAATGGTTTACATTTGATTTTGAAACATTCATCACGTTACTAAACTTCCCCTCCTAGCAAATTATTGTAATATTATTTCATCTTCATGCTAAAGGTGA